ATAAGAGTATAAAGCGAGGGATAAAATATCACACAATTTTGAACTTTCGTCAACACTGGTTGTTTGTCCTAAAATGTATTAAATCTCGTTTGTAAAAGTCTGTGAAAAATCATTCAGGGTTTGACCAAACTATCTTGTATATCTTAGGTTTTTCCGAAATCAATTGGTTTCCAAATTTCGGACATTTACAGACAGCAGTCGGTGAAACCTATGATTTACTGGTTTGATCATAAAAGTCGTTGTATTATGTTTATCGACGGTATTGAATTATCGGCTGAGGATAATAATTAATAATTGTATTATAATAATATAGTTTATACTATAACAATATACTATAACAATATACTCGACATTCGTGGTATTATACAATATAGTGATTAAAAGCTCAGTGGGACGAAAAACAGTGTTTAAATAATTAAATGTTTAATAATGATACCATGTTTTCTTTTTACTGAAATATCGGTTTACCATTAATGCATACCGGTATACGTCATAATAATGTTTACATAACAAAAACAACATAGAATCATTTTACAACGACCAGAAATGGCAGAGGCGACGCTGGAGGGTGGCGAAAGTAGAAGAATCGGAAGTACCTATACATTATTTTCGATTTCCCGTCAATATCATATAACATATGCATAGTATAATATAATTTATATTATTACCTTCTATACGAAGATCAAGCTGGCAGCAGTGCGAGGCAAATAATCTATAGGTACACACTTTCCTACGGACCGATAAACATTTTTCAGCGAATAGTGAATACCTGAACAATATTATATATATGAGCACATTACGCCCATCCTAACAAATAACAATGGTGGCTGCCTTTGAAGGTCTATTATATAAAGGTCATTATTTTGGTCCAATAACGGAATGCTTAATGGGAACTTTTGTTTTTTTTTAAATACTATACCATTCTTTTAAGTTTTAATCAACTCGAATCTAAATGTTCAATCGGGTACATACCTATTATATTTTAATCCGTATAGCTGCAAGTAAATATAATTAAATATTACTTTGGTTGCAGTCGTTGCAAATATAGATAAAAATTCAACGATAAAATCGTAAGCAATTGGCATAATTGTGGAAAAAAATTGAGTATTAAAAATGAAATTAGACGACAGACAAGCCAGAATGGCCTCATTGTGAGAAATGTGTGGTACCTGTAGACATCTATATATTGGTGTTAGACAAAACGGCGGAACTTGATTATAATTTTATAATTGGGGGATGAGGTGACCGAGTGGTCTGACGCGTCCGCTGCGACGCAGCCGGTCGCGGTTCGATCCTCGGCTACCGGGCGGCATTTTTCTCCGGACAAGTTGCGGTGACCGGAGAACAAGTGCTGCCATCCCCCACCCCCGGGGCATGGCAGAAACCTACGGGTGCCCCATTCGAAATTCTGCCAAAAACAAACACACACGTGTTCCCCCCTACCGTTCCAAAAAATATACAATACAAACTACAATACAAATCCTACTACAGCTAATGGCCTCAGTTGCCGAAGCTTAAGTTCAATAAAAAAAAAAAAATTTTATAATTTTTAATTGTATGTATTTTCTTATGCAGCATTAAAATTATTGTTCTTCTTCGTCGATCCTTCAAAAATTAGTATTCTTCTTATTTAGTTTGTTATTTCTGAAATATACGAATACAGTGAAACCTCCCTTAAAAGGCACCTCTAAATAGCGGACGTTTTAATGGGAACGGGGACATTTTCACCATTTGTATATAGAAAAACCTCTAAACAACGCATACTTTTATGGTAATTTAATTTTTGACTTTGACAATTTTTATCATTATTTATTATCAGTATATATTAATAACTATAATATAGTACCTACATAGTTTTCTATGAATGCAATAAAAAATAATTTAAAACCGGTATGAGCATAGACCATGTCTTATGCTGCTATAACAGCATAGTAAAACAGAATAAAGAATTAAATTAAGTTATGTTGTAGATAAACTTTCGATTGTTATTCTTTCTTAGACAAACTATTGATAATTACCATCACCACTCAAACTCGATTTCAGGCCAAGTGCATTTAAAAGTGATCCAAGATTTTTTTGTACACTCGTTCTGTTTGCAAAATATTTAGTCACGAAGCGAAGAATTTTTTAAAGACCTTAGCTTTAAGACCAATATGCATTTCACTTGTTTGTGATTTTGTGAATCCAAAGTACAGCACTGATGAATTAAATAATTAATTTCGAGTTATGTATTATGTTCAATGCGATAAAAGTTAATGCAGATGGCATCTTCAACAACGATTTGTTCTTGTCATCAATACTTAACCTATATATATTAACAAACTTTTACTTTTTCGAAATTTTCGTTCTTTTATCATTTTAACTTTTGCTCAATGTATTTAGTTCGAAATAATACTTTTCAGACTGTTTGACAAGTGTGAACAGCCTGTCACTTGTCAGCTTGAAAGCACACCAAAATCCATTTACTATTCTTATTCATCTCCTCAAACGTAGTTGAACTTATTTTATTTATTATCCTCACTATAAATAATATATAATATTTAATATAAAAATCATTAACCTCGTATTATGGGAACAAAATTTTATTATTTTTTTTTACAATTTGCGTAACAATTTTTACGACAAATAATTTGAATCCAGTATTGTCTAGTATTTTCTTTTAAATTTTAACTACAATTTTTATTAAAAAAACTTTTACCTAAATCAAAGTTCAAAATTCGTATTATAAATATTAGGTAGGTACACAGTTTGTGCAAAAAAAAAAGCAATAATGAGTTTCTTTTATACAAGAATTGAATTTATGTTCACAGTTTCAGCTTATGTATTCTGCAACATATGAAACTTCAAGCTGTAAGCTTATTAGGTAGGGGTACTGACTATATATTGCTTCAGAATATGCTTAGTATTAATTAAACATCTATGATTTTTCACATTAATGTTATTTATTTTAAATAGGTATTTATTATTTTGTGTGGTACAGTGGTTTTTATATTTTCAATTAAATAAACTAAATCTCATTCTTACTTTAAGGGAAAAAAATAATATTAAATACAAATTATAAAAGCAGAGCACCTACAGACTTCAATAAAAATGTCATCTAATAAATAATAATTGAATCGTCTGGCGAACACTTCGCTGAAAAAAATTGAGATAACGTCTGATTATAAACAAAATGTTTGGACCTAACGTTTATCATTACTTTAATAATCCACTCGGACTCGATGATAATATACTAAATACTCACAATTTATTATGAAAATATTTCTCAATTAACAAACCAAATATGTTTAAACAATCAAATATTGAGTACATTTTGTTTTCGCTCACTATGCACCATAACATGTTTTTTGGAATGTATAAAATGTATGTTTGGCATAGCTGTAGTAGCACCTATGACGATTGGTAGTTCAGTTTATTTTGTGAACGATATTCACCTCTGACAAAATAAAATATGTGTGCGTAATTGAAAATAAAAGCTGCTTATTGGGTAATTACCTACTTCAACCCTCATTTGTTTAAGAATTGTTTTGAATTTCTATACGAAAATATGTAAAACACGCTGTTCCGGAACGGTGTTTTATTATCTCTCGTCGTTAAGCAAAAATAATGATAAAATTACGCAGGTACTAGGTTTAAGAATTTATATTATAATATTATACAATATGTTTATGTATAAAAAAACGTATAAAAACTTTTTCTTTGTGTAAAGCGATATTCAAAACGAGAGATTATATGTATTATACATTTTAAAATACTTATTATTTATTAAGCTGATATTTATGAACACTTCTGAGCATGGACATATTATTTCGAAGAACCATATTATAATAGATAAGTATAATAGGTACTACAAAAGTAAGATATTGTCGTTTGGAGCTTAAATAAAAGAAAGGCTACCTATGTAAAAATTGGAGGGAGGAGGGTGGGTGGGTTAAGACGCCAAACGGAATCCGCATACGTCTCGAATGATACCTTTTAATTTTTAATTTTTATTAGTTCAAATCCAACTTAAAAACAACTATATTTATTTCCACGGTTGCAGGTGGAAATCAAACAATTTAAAAAAAACAATTCCATTCATATTATGTGGGTACTAAGTAGTAAAGTTTTTCTAAAATGATTTTTTTTTATCTCATTTTTTTATTATGGACATTTATGAATAGGTGCGTTAAACTGTACTGCGTTTTATTAATTTCAGTTTTAAGTTTTTAAATTTAAATTTTAGATTTTGAGCAGAGCGGCGAATGTATAAATTTTACAACGATGAGTGTTTTATTTATTTTGTTTCTTTCGTCATCTTTGGGAGCAGTAAAACAGTAGGTAAAAGTGCTTCGATTTTCTACTCCAGCGTCTTTTCTGGCAGGAAAGTGAATCTAATTGGTATTTTTGTGGGGATGTCAAAAGTAATATATTAGGCTCTTTTTGAGTTGTGTATAGCCATGACAATTTTTCGATTTTTTTAAAGTTTTTTTTCAATCATTGTCGAATAATATTTATTTTATTATATTTTGCCAATCTTTATTATTTTCGATGACAAGATACACTCTATTCCTGTACTGTACAGCAGAGCGGTGTCCAATACTTTTCCTTTTTTTAAATTTTACTTAAGTGTGTCGATTTAGAACGAGGTGCACTAGTAGGTAATATATCTGTTTTTGGTTCACTTTGAGTTTATCCTATATTTAAGCTCCAGCAGACATTTTCATGGTTACCGAGTACAAATCCGCTAACTTAATTTAGACGTTATATTTTCGACTGTACGTTTATATAAAACGATTTACAAGGTAAAGTGAAAATTAAAAGAACGTGGAGAGAGTTTTACAAAGTCTTAGTGGCTGTCACGGCGGATTGAATTACTTATTAGGCACTGTTACAGTCGCCACTTTTACCTTTTGGATGTTTTCGCAGGATTATTACCCATTTATAACAATATACCTAGTACGAACTTAGGCCGACACTATTATCAATGTTTCAACGTGGTTGTTTTGTACGGTTTCCAGCGGGGACATCGAGAATACTGAGCGGCCACTTGAAGAACTCGGGTGGGACCACCAGCAGCCGTCGGCAGCAACAGAACAGGCGCAAACAGACGACGGGATGAAGACCAAGAGGTACCTGCTACTGCCGGCCGTGGACAACATATTGTTGCGCAGACAGTACCCTCATTTAGCGACAAATAAAATTTAATTTAACACTAAGTTACACGCTTCGCCGACGTATATAATACTATACGAACGTAATGTTTTAATAATAATACATAATATATATTAATATAACGTCATAATATTTACCTTGTTGTATCAAACATAATACTTATATTCATCACTCGTCCGGTATGGCGGCTGCACACTGTTGGTAAGACACTATAAATTGTGCACGATACACCGAACGAGTAAGTACAATAATCGACAAAACCTTTTTATTGGAATTTCTCAAATTATAAGACAATAACTGTGTGTGTTTCTTAAATTAAATTATCGTACGTAAAACATATAATAATAATACTATGTAATGTCTATGTGTTGACATATTATTTAGCTTTTGCCACGTTTAAAAAGAAAAAAAGGATTAACATTTATAAATACTAGAAAATTACAATTCCCTATATTGTAGACTTTTATCCTCTATTATATTGAACATAATATAAAAATAAAGTTATTTTAAGTGTAACATAAACGACGTGTATTAATTATTTATGTGCCTATTATAATAGGCACTTGTATACAGTGTTTTTATTTTGAATAGGCAAGAGGGAAATAACTTCACCTATAACGACTAATGGGGTAAACAACCTACGCGATGAAGTTAACTGTTCAGTGTACACTGAGTCATAGGTTAGGTAACCTTATGGCTTATAACATTAAAGGCAAATTTGAGAGTTTTCCGTCTAAGAGGTGAGTGATGGCGATTTTAATAGTAAGTATCGCACGTAGCAATTTATTTACTGATGTACAAAAAAACATTATTCAGTGGAATGTGGAAATGTATAAACATCTTAATTAAACAAACAGGGATGGTTGCATTTAGATACATACAGTAAAGATACCTTATAAGCTAATCGCTAATGATCAAAGGCCGATTTTAAACAGGGCTATTATAACTATAATAACTATTACGGGTTTCAGTTATAAAATAGAGAAATGTACAGAGTTAAGTTGGAGTTTGAATTAAATTTCTTTCATTTCAGTTTCACATAATCAATATTATTTTTAGTGGGATAACACGGATAATTATAATATAAACTTGAAACATCCTAATGTTACTAAATTTCGATCATCATTTTCTACACGCAATAAAATGCTAAAAATATTTAGATTCAATTTAAGCTTTTTGTAAGCTTTATCGAGTATTTACAGGGTTTCTTTTTAATGTTAATATTAATTTTTTAGGATCGGTCAAAAAGCATGAAAATGTAATAAAAGATTTAAGTTGTTTTTTTCTGAATTTAACAATATTAAATAACATATAGGGGAAATTCTTTGCACCGAATGCGTTAAAAATTACAATTGGTAATCGTGTCTCAGCCGACTAGTCTTATAATTATGATGTAAGTTATGGAGCAATGTTTTTTGAAAATTGTGTTATAATTTAAAGGAATATCTCTTTTAATCTTTTACGCTTCTTAGGCCTTACCAAAAGTATTTTTAAAAATGTAATTTTTAGTTTAAAGTTGTTATAAAAATTCAAAATAGTATACTAATATTTCACTTTGTAAATCAATATAGGAGCATATTACATTATGTGTTAATTTCAAAAAACATAATTTAAAATAATCGGATGAAATTAAGTTCATAAAAATGGTTTTTTCATTTGTAATACTGTGGCCGTAAGCTAGTGCTTTTAGTGAAAAATTGTTTATACATATATAAAACAATCTATGAACAGAAATACTTACTACTTGTCCGCGATCTTCCCCCTAAGGTCGTCGAAGCCGGTGCATTTTTAGTCCAAAAATATGTCTTACAGAATAAACTCTTATACGCACTATTGAATAGTCGGATTTCATCAGATTTTTTTTTATTTAAGAGTAGAGTAGAGAACATTTTGCAGGTCGAATCAAAGCCTGATTTTCGAAATCATAATTATAGAATCTAAAATATGCATTTTAAATTTGAATAATGCACAATAATCAAAATAAAGTGAATGGTTTTGATTCGACTCGAAAAAAAGGTCAGCAAAAGGTGACTTATTATTATTATTATTATTATTATCTTTTAAATAAAAAAATAATAATTTAACATTCTGAGTGGAGCGACATTATTGTATTTTATTTACACAATGACGTTTTCATAGGTAAACTTAGATTAATTTTTAAAAGTTAATATATATTTATATTATGAACCTATTCACACCGTTCTACGATAGGGCGGTATTGGCTTAAAATGTAATAACAATACTAAATACAATAAAAATGCTGTGGCTTGACGTGGCGCGGTTGCTGCAATCAGTCAACCAACGTGATCGAGTGTTCGTACCGTCCGATACCACTAGTTCCCGGGTGGGTGACCACCCGGGCTCTTAACTTCTTAGTGGTAAAAACCTTGCCACGCATACACGAGTTTCCAAACTAACCATACCAACCCCACAAGAGACCGTAACCACTGCAATAGCTTATGGCCTTAATTACGGGGGCTCAAGACCAGTTTAAAAAAATTAAAATTAAAATTCCACGTTTTTGGGATTCAAAAAAAAAAAAATGATTGTATAGTGAATTACAATAGAATCTCGCTAATCCGGACAATCTATTTTTCGTACTTTAGAATTCATGTTTAATGTATATATTCGGAAATAGGTACCCATGATTAAGATATTATCGTAATTTTAACAATAATGTGCAATGTAAAATTGTAAGTCAATAAATTTTGAATTTGTATAAATACATAAGGTGTTTTTTGTTTATATTTATTAGTAAGCTAGAAAAAAATGTCATTCCTTTTAATCTGGATTTTCGATAATCCGAATAGAGTCCGGATTAGTGAGACTTTACTGTAATTAATTGGAAAGTGTGTAGCTTTAATTCGAATTATAATCCAGATATTGCAGTGCAATTTTTGAAGTAATGTATTATTAAGGGCTCCCTTTTACTGTGGTCTAAAAAAAAATGTAATAGGACGCCACACCCGCTTGTGATGTCTGTCTTACTAATATAAAATATAGCCAAAACTATTATGAAATGAGAATTCTACAGTCATAATTAAAGAAATAAAGAAACATAATGTTCACCACATCAATGGGAGAACTTAACCTATAAAATATAGTTTTAATTTTTTCAATATTGGAACTACAAGAAAAATTATTCAAATTTTAAAAACAAAAATAATGGATTTTGAAACAATGAGAACTTTTTTCTTATAAGTTATATTATGCTGATATCAAAAAAATAAAAACGATATTTCACAGATAATGTTCTAAATTATATTGAGTATCAATTTAGAGTCTTAATTATCACTACAGCCTGAGTAGTTCTATCCCGTGCAAAACTGATAGTATGAAACACTGCAAGTTTAGAACTTGGCTTAAAACTTTACTTTGGGGAAAAAACAACACTGCTGTTTTGTAAGACATGAATAGCCACAATAGGTACGTATAAATGATGTAGTAAAGTACCAAAGCAAAAATAATTAAAACGTCACATAATATTGTATTAATATATTTATTTTACAACAATTTATATATAAAATAATAGGCAATTAATAATTATACATTTAACAAACATTGTATATAAATTCTTTGGTTCCGAAATAAAAGACCGAATTGTCAGCAGGTAAATAATAGTACTATCAATAGAATAATTATTTAGAAAAACTTAAAATTATTTGTTAGTCGCGTCATAATGCTTAAGCCCGTCATAATACTGCTACTTTTATTTGACGGATAAATGGTTGGGATTTTGCCATTTTGGTCAAACAAGAGTGCACGACTGAAGAGCGTTTACACGAGTGTTTGCGTGAACGTGCACTGTGCAGCCATGATATTATGTATTATTATTAATACAAATATGTGTGTCTTACTCAATATCACGTGATGATTATTATAGATAAATGAGAATACAAAGTTTTATACAAATATAATGACGATAACATATTTTACAAATACGTACTACGATTGACAATGTACATTATTATTCTATGATCGTTAATAATTTTGAATGGCGTGTAGTGTGCAGTCGTGTAGGCACACTGTACATTATATTATAGGTAATCAATATAAATATTATAACTTAGCTAGAACCCAAATATGTAAATAGATAATAGACGTGTGAAATAAAGACACGAAATAAAAAACAAGTTTGACAATCGGGAATAATTACATGCACGCATACCTAGGTATATTATATTAACGAAAGCAAATCATTATTTTTTTTTTTCAACAATGTAATATTATGAAACTATCTGCATTCTAAATAATCTAATATTGTATTAGGTAAAATATTCTACCTTTTGCATTATAACTACCTTGAGTACTTTCAGAGAAATAATATATTATCTTATATCCTGCACACTGTCGGTGATATGAGTAGATAAGCTTTGCAAAATTTTAATTATTTTCTAAAAATCGTGATATTATGCAACGATAACGTACTGCGTATGAAAATAACATGATTTTTGTTGAAACATACATCAAGAATATAAAGTGTGAGCCATGGTGTTGTGTCGCGGCTTATCCTGTAACTACTACATCAGGACAGCGTACCATCAACTCTAAGGGAGGATCCAGAATTTGTGTGAGGAGGGGGCACTTAAATTTAAAACAATTTTATGTTGCTGATTTTTAATAGATAATGAACAATTATATCATATTTTTTGGAAAAGAGGGGGGGCACTTTCCCCCATTGCTACCCCCTAAATCCGACCTTGGCCCACCCCCTACCCTAACAAACCACTTAATAATATATATTTGAATAGTGGCCTTGGTGAGGCAATGAAGCCAGAATGTGGGGAGTAAAAGTTTATTTTTATTGTCATACAACTGTTATTGTGATCTATCATAACCCTCGGCAATCAGTGTTGAAATTTAGAACGAATTAGAGTTAATATTTTTCAAAATGTTTTAACTTTAACCACGTGAAATACAAAATTCAGAATTATGGAAGCTCTGCAAATTCATCCATGTATCTAATTCTCAGAAAACTCACTTAATGTAAGTTAAAAGTGAAAAAAATATTTTGAATTATATCTACATTATCATGCACTATATGTGTTATGTGTATTACTGTATAACATATTATTTTCTGCTGCATTTCAGTGGATGAAATGAGCAAAACTTGTGCAGAGATCATTTGACAAAAAAAAATACATATAACTTTACACATAGGTACCCTTTACATCTCAGATGGTCAAGAAACCAATGACAATTATTGACATTAGTATCCTGTATCCTTAAAAATTACCTACATAACATATATTGTTTTAACACAATTATTTCTACATAGGATATTTAAAATAATACTTGTTTTTTAAAACTCTATTCACATAATTATTTTAGTAAGACACGCTTATATTATATTATACAAATCAATTTAAATGTTTTGAAGTATTTGTACTTAGAATATGTTCTTAAAAATTATAGTTACAGTGATATTAATAATAAAAAACATACTATGAATTCAAATCAAATGTGCAATAAACAAACCAAGTAAATTCAAACAATATTTTTGAAAACTAATTAGTATGCAGCAATAATTTCACTAGTTTTGCCATCTCTAATTGTGAAGTGCATGAAATAATATACATTATGTTTTAATTGTGTTGCTATTAAAAAATGTAGAAGTAATTTTTTCTAATTTGTTTTAACTACATAATAAATATTTTAATAAAACATAACATATTATGCATATTAAAATCTAATCTTCCAAAAATAATAATGGTAACTTGTGTGTCTTGTAAGTACTAAGGATGGACCTTGAATGGAATAATAACCAAAAGAAGTGCAACAAATTGATATATGAAACCTCTTAAGTAATAAATACTTATTGATATATTTTAATATTTTTTGTGTCAACATTTGAGAAATGTATATACACTTGTATTAGTAAACGTATAAAAAACATGATTTATCTAAGATTTAAAGTAAGACCCCACATATCTATGTCACATTGCCCCAGTGAAGAAAGTACTAAGTTAAAGTACTAAGTACCTACTGTAATTTAATATTTATAATTCTGAATTAAGTAGAAATTTAACTACACAAAATTAATTTAATGTAAAATTCAACGTTTTTTAAATGTCTAATAGTAATTCTTACAAATTCATTCTTCATTAAAAAATTACAACACAATTATCATACTTGATGAATATGAGTATTTGACAAGATAAGCAATTTAATCATTATTCATTACTTATTAACATGAAACTCATTGAAGTGCTTTGGAGGGATTTGGGTGTTCAACTCCCCTCTCCTCTTTTTGACATTTTAAAAAATTTAGAAAAAAGTATTACCTAGTCGAATAAATAAATTTGAAATACACGCTAGTAAAATCATTAAACCTCTCCCCACCTCTCCACAAAAAAATGTCTAGGCATGCCGCTGGTGACACTATACTTTAGAGTTGGCATAACTATAAAACAAATCTGATGATAAAAGATCAAAAAAGAACGAACAGCATAATAATTAATAATACTAGAATTATATACTGGTGGGATAAATCTTAACAATACAGTGGAAAAATATTAAAATTCAGTAAGCGTAACACATAGATGATATCTCATTTATATATAATAACTAAAATTAAAATGTTCAACACATTTAACTAATAAAATAAAATAACAAACTTAAAAATGAATTTTGGTACACAATGATTTTAATTATAACATAATTTATAATGAAATACAACCACTACTAGAGTGCCATCAAGGAATTAACCAACACAATTTGGTTTCAATCAATAATAAATTACTTAAACTTAATACATAATAGAAGAATGGTAACTTTGTGGAAAACCAAGATAACAGTAACTGGTTGTCGATATCACACATTCTTAAACAGTATTTAATTAGAGAACCCTCATCACTTTTCAGTCTACGTGAAAATCTTTTATTTTAATATCTTGCACAATAGCTTCATCCCATGGTCCATAAATGTTGTCTTTGAATGAATGCCATTTAACAAAATAGTAGGGGCACATCAAATTAATAAACAAGACAGTTAGTACAAATAGTCCACTCATTAATGATGACACCCTCATACATAATACAAAGGTAACAGTTACAAATGACAATAAGATGGTAATGGAAGATTTGATCGGCGATAAAAGTATCGGTGATACAGCAAAACACTGTACTGCTATTGTGATAAATACAAATACATGAAAAGCTGTTTGTAGTCTTGAGCACAAACAAATGGAACCAAATAAGGCAGCATTCAATGACAGTGATGTTGATACTATAACTGCAGAAACTCCATAGTCAAAAAAAACAAGATGAACACACATCATTACCGTAGCTGTGGCATATATGGTGTCGGTGCTTATAGTTTCAGTCAATGTTTTCAGCACGGGTGATAAAATGTAACCAGATATGATAAATGCACATGCTGACTTCATCAGCCATAATGGAATTGCCTTGGAATTTTCATAAAGCAAGAGGTAAATAATAAAACTAAAACTTGTAGTAGAAATTAGCAATAATAGTGGGGAAATTAAATTGCAATTCAGAGCATAAAAAGATAATGCAAAAATTACCACAATACATAATCTTTGGGTAATTAAACCAGCTCCAAGGATTGCTTCTAAAAGTGTAAGTTTTCGTACATGAAGGTTTTTTCTCAATTCTTCTAGGAAAGACTTATCAGTATAATTATCTGGATAACCTTCATTGGAATAAAGGTTCTTTTTCCATGGTTTTAGGTGACCATTACAAATAGCTCCATTTTGATACTTTACTTTAGTGAAATACTGGGATGACTTGACAATACCATTATCTAAAATAAAACAATTTTGAATATTAATAGGTGAATTATAATATATTATATACACTATACAGAGTGTATATAATAGAGTTATTCAAATTCTGATTTATGGAAATTTTAAATATACATGAAGACTGAGAGTATATTTTTGTATACTTGGAATTTTTGTATCACTAAGAGAGAGTTCAGTGGTGATGCAAATCTTTATTTTTTTAAAGGGAATCTCCAGGAGAATACCCCTTTTTTCTGAAAATAATAGCAGATTGTTATTCTAGAAATGTTGATATATCTAAAATGAAAATCAAATGATTCTTTTCCAAGTTATAAAACATAAAGTCAGATTATAATTTTACACATAGCTACACAATTAGTCACAAATTATGCTAGTAATGAGTACCTAAGCCATATAGCCATATCTTAATTTGTGCAATTATATGTAACATTAATGAAACTATTAAAATAATCAGATAAGCCAAGATCTACTAAAATGTTTGCGTAGAAGATAATTCTGATCAGTAAAATGGTTAAAAAATACCACAATATACTCTGTACAAAAAAAGAAACACAGTATTTGTCGCCAATAGTCATTAGTCAGACAACAACCGTTTGTCATCTACTACCATGTAGTATCGCCACTTCCTTGAGCATAAGTCGGACACTGACTGTGTTTCTTATTTTGAACAGAGTATAGTAGGACATACATTGAACTATATTTTACTACATGGAGTACACAGGTGGCGAGGCCTGTCTTATAATTGAAAATAATTATTAATTACCCATGTCATTAAAAGGTTAAATTGGGTCAAGTGGACATAAAGGTACTATAAAGTAGACAGCTTAAATCGATGATTAGTTAAAGTAACTTAATTCTACAACAGTATTTATTATATTTACTATTTGATGTAAGGTACCTTTTATGTTACAGCCAAAAATTTAAATTATTTATAGATAAAATATTTCACAAAATAATGAGACATCAACAATTATGCTCTAAATAAAATGTATAGATATTATAGATTTGTATTATAAATTAATTATAATGTATAAACATTAAGCACTGAGCAGCATTTGACTGATTGAATTCCTTTTAGTTAAAGAATTACATTGAATATTATAATAAAAATAAATGTATAAAGAGCCTAGATTGCCTGGTAAACATAGAATTCAGTATAAATTGTTATATCGACCGTTTCCACATTTTTTAATTATAAATATAAAATAAAACACATAAGAGTAAGTATTGTGTATGACACTATAAGATTTGATGACAAAATCAATAAAAACTGAAAATTTAATCAATTGGGTACATATGTGCCTAATAATAATTAATTATAATATGGTATTAAGTGAAAACTAAAAATAATGTTAGTAAAAAATATAATCTGTCAAGTAAATTAAAATAATTTACTTTGGTTATACATACGATATCGTATTATACTTAAATAAAATAAAAATTTTTCCTAGAGGAAAAAATGATACTCTTTGTGGTACACTTTGCTTTATAGCTATAGCATGACAAACCCAGGTGGTTTCTACACACGGCTAAAAGCAAAACATACGGTTTGCAGAGAGAGGAGAGTATTTCATCGCAACAATGAACCAATACAGCTGGTGCATATTTTATAGCATGTTCTGCTCTTCTATGCATACGTCAACTTTTTTTTCTATTCCTTTTAATTTTTTAACTTATTTTCTAATTTTAACCTAAACTTACCTAACTTAGAAAAAATTAAGAACAAATATGATAATTGTAAGGTACCTAGTGAATTATTTAAGGAAAGCTGTAAAATATCATTATATATAATCTATTAAAATCGAGATTGAAATTACCACTTATAATAAAATAGGCATCTACCAAATAAAATATTACATTTTTAAAACTTAACTAATACATTAAATCATGTCAAACCAAAATAATACTTTGTATGTATGTAGTTTTTGAATGGTGGACTTTCATAAAAAAACAAAATAGTTTTCACTACAATAGGATAGGTTGAAATTTGATATGTTATTGAAACATTAGGTGCCTAGGCACACCAGAAAAGAACTCAAAGCAAAGCACTGTGATCAAAAATTTAATAAAAGATCAAAATGATTTAAGTGAATAAAATACGTAGTAAATAATGTTATTTATTAAAATATTATTAAGACTGTTTAATAGATAAAATATTAATTATCACTATCATAGTTTGCGCCTTTTTCACTTCAGCTTACATTGTCATCACTCCTGTCGAATTTTCAATATAATATAATTCTTTAACAGACTGAAGTTTTTATTTTATCTTCTTCGCTTTTCTAACACAATTACAATATTATTCAATGGATTTTAAGATAACAATTACTGTTGAAAAATATACAGGTTAGATCTTATTTAATATGCACATGATTTTCTCTAAAATTTTTTTTCCTAGTTTCTTGGGCTTTTCGCTAAGTTCTTTTATTTATATTATAAATGATGTGACTACAGAATAAGTTATTTAACTTTTTTTGAAAAAAAGGGCAAATGAGCGCAACTATCCATAGATAGTTTTATTCGGTAGGTCCATGTGAGAAGGACCCAATAGAGCGGAAAGTTTATTGAAAAAATTAATTAAAATAGAGCTCATTAGTATGTTGAATTCAGCAATCATACAGATAACATTATGTTACAACAATGGATACGAATGTTTTTGGTAGCAACAACTATAAAATATAAAGTATAATTTTAGCAATACCAAAATTTGATGAAAATAAAGAATACCTACCTACTCATTACATTATTGGTGAAAAAGATACGTTTAAATAAGAGTAAAATTTTTTATCAAAAAATGCATTGATTAAATAAATTTTACTTTATTTTTCTACAAAAATTAATTTTACCACCTTCTTTTCAGACCATTGCAGCGCATGGTGATGACAAACACGAAAAAAGTGATTAGAATATCAGACTATTTAACAAAACAAAAGGTGTAGTTACCGTCGAAAGACAGTCTACAATAAAACCCTATGGTCACATAGGTTGTTGACACCCGTTACACTTACTTTTACTGGATGACAGGTACGTCGATTTGGTGACATCAGTCATACATGACATCAAGGGACAGCAGTTGATCAGAAACATGCGTGTCGCGATTCAACGACTTCGGCGACGTGAGCGACGGCGGCGGTGGAGCCGTCATCAACTGATAAATATGCCGACGGAAACACAAACCAGATGCAAATGATGGTTCACCCAAAGACAAGTCGAACATATTATTTAATATTTTGTTTACCAGCGAAGCGCACACGCCTCTGAAATCACAATATAATCATTACAAATCACAATGATATGCATTGCATTATCATAATATATTATTCATATTTTACCGTTAGTCGTCGTCTGTGGTTTGACTGATTTCGTAATTCGTTTTGGTGTAGAACAAATATTTTTCATTATATTTTATCATCGACGTTTGAAGGTCTCCACTGATAAGCGATGTTGTGATAACGTTGACGACGATGCATTTTGTGTGTAAAAAAATATACAAATAAATCATAATATCTCAGAATATAAAAATATAATTATGATATTATAATGAATTATGCATAGCAGAAAAAATGTCTCACTGCCCATGATGTCATATAATATAATATAATTATATTAATAATAATATAATTTATAATTATTATGTTGTATATACATTATGATCTATGACGTCATTATGTCTCTTATCATTGTTAGCCACAGCGGTATGACAGAATTCTGATAAGATAAGTATTTATACTTCGATAAGCAAATATCGCGGTCCCCAGACCACGAACCTTAGTCCGTATATTGGGTTAGATCATATTGTATCTATTACCTGAGCCACGAAATAAATATTGTACTATACAAATTAGTGAATTACAATACATTATACAATAAAATATTCTTAATTATACAATTACTAGCGACTGACGTATCGAATTGCTGAAAAATTTATTAAATTGCTGACTCTAGGAAGAAAATTTATTCATTAATAATTTAATTATTAAACAAATATTTGAACATTATTTGTGTCATTACCAACATCATTAGTTTATTATTGAACTACAAATATATACTTAAAATGTACAAAATGTTTAATTTGAATAATTGTATAGTTATAAGGATTGAACATTTAAAATATTACGTTTTCTATAATATTTTGACGATAATGTAAATATAATAATTATTAGGACTATTATTAGTATTATTTTATGTGTTTTTCAAATTTTACTTTATATCGATACAATATTTAAAATGATTATAAAATAAAAATAAAAATAATTATTAAACTACAGTTAATGAATGTACTGGTGCTCAAAGTTAAAAATAAAGTATATAAAAATATTTCGAATACCAACGTCAAGTAATACAAACAACAATAATAATAATAAAATTATATAAAATTATACAAATTTAGGTCGGTATTCACAACTCACAGTTAAAAACATAGCATAATAATGTACAATTATTTGGAATGATCGATATACCTACGTCAAATAATACAAATTTTTACCCTATATTATAGATTATAAAAGGTTAAACATGATGGTGTATAATATTATCGTCAACATATTTTAGGAAAAGTAAAAAAAATTATCCTTGAGATTTAATTTTACAGAATTTTATATAAAATCGCAATGTACAACAAAATATTATTAGTATATTTACTGATTACATTATATTTGTTATTAAATATTAATAATGATGCCAATGATGGTAATTAGTAATTACACTAATTAGCGTTTAAAAAAATATTTGTTCAATAATTTTGTGAGAAAAATTGTAGTCTGGGAATTTTTTTTCCCGGGAATTTGTATTCCGATTACCAACGTTTCATGTAATAATTTTTAAATTTTTTTTAATATCATAGTCAATGGTTCATTGTGTAAATGCGTATAGACTATATATAGAGTAAATAATTATATATATATTGGCAAAAAGTCTTCAGTCAATACAAATAATTGAAGTTCTCCAAAATAAGTAATACCTAATTAAATTTGTTTATTTTTTGTTCAAATATTCAATTTTTTCAAAGTTTGAAATTCAAATAATGTCTATAAAAAAATTGTGTACATTTTATTTTGATATATTTTATTAATGGCAATAAGAACAACTTATTAAGAATAAGTTTCGTACGTTTGATACACGGCCTCATAAGATAAGGTCGGGACTCTTTGGCCTTTTCTTATCATTGTGGGCTCAAACAGGGGACATTTTAGTATTTATTTAATCCTCTATTTTGATAGCAACTTTCTGTATTTTACTATTTACTAACTTACTAATAGACAATAGTTACCATCGAGACATCGAGTAGATACTAGAAAACATGTCCACAGGTTAAATAACCTGAGTGTTCAGTATTGGCGATCGATAGTGGTCGATCGCCGTTGTCGGCACAAGATAAGAAAAAATAACGAGCTATCGTCTCGATCGGTCAAAGGCCAGTTTTTAGTCTTGTGACAGCTGTGACCGATGCAATGTTTATCGTCAATCTCAAGTGCGTTAGATGAGACCAGTTAATATTAAAATTAAAATGTATATAATTGTTACGTGATTTAGGTATTAATTAAATATATTTTGTTTGGTTAAACCAAAATATTAGTGTTTTTTTTTTTGTATTAAATTCTTAAAGTTCTAATTGCCGTGCGCTCGATTAATTGCGATTAAAATCAAATCGACGTAAGGCCCGAACACTGAGGCTTTTTAAACTAAATAGGTATGTCTGCCATATAAGAATAAGAAAATGTGAAAATATTTACAGAGCGAGTTACGTATTAAAGTATCGTTCAAATGCCGTTTGAGTTTTGTGAGCTACTGACTTTGTCGCAAAACATGATAATAATAATGTGTTCCGAACAACTGGTCAATAAATTTAAAACATAGGAATAAAATATTTCCCTCATTTTTAAAATAATACAAGTACAAAAAAAAGAACAGAATTTTCAAATTTAATATTTGAGATAATTGTAACGTAATGTTGACATGAGTTTCGGTGGCACTATCTGCTAGAGCCAAAAATAAATAATAATTAGCAAATGCTGCAACTCTCCAGCACTGCTTATAAGTTATAACACTTATAACTAAAGACCGACTTTAATTGACATTTTACCTGTGTTTGCACACAAGAGGAATCAAATCTGATCAAATATTGTGTTGTATAAAGTATCAACCTCAGTTATGTACCTACTTTCTGCATATTTCATTTCAGAACGTAGTTTTTCTTTGTACAAACATATTTTAAGTAATATAAGACATAACTGTCTTCAAATTCGCTTGTCTCCCGGACTTTGGGCGATGTTGCTGGTAGTTCGGGCGCCGACTGCACGGACGTACACGATAACGTGTTTACTCCTTTCGGCGTATCCATCGAACTCACAGCACCATTATCCTGCAGCGACGCGTTGGATCCTCCGTCCTTCGGAACGGATAACTCAAGGTCCGATGGACTGAACGGGGTCCGTTTTGGGCCAGCACGTCAGAAAGCTCAAAAGGCTTGCAGGGCATCTCGGCCGGAGCGGACAAACATTGGTGGTAGACATCGGAGTCTCCCGCTGCGGCTGGTTGATGACAAGTCGTGGCCACGTTCGGCTTGGACTCGTGTCTTTTCAGCGTCGGCCAAGTTCCAACCCGTGTCGACAATTTAGTTGGAATGTTGAACTTTGCCGATCTCAGCTCTTCAAATATCCTCTTCATCTTTTCGCCTTCCGTTAACTCCAGCATAACTCCAGCATAAATGTAACATATCATGATGGTTTTCATGTTGTAAATATTTTCGTTTTTAAAGGCTTAAAACACTAAGATTCAACACTGCCTCTCCAAAACATTATAGGTTTCTCAATCATTTAAATACTAAACACTACTGGTCCTGGACCGTATTAGCACATGGGTCTACGGTAGTGTTAATCCGGGCCTGTGTCTACAACTTCGTGATACGCATGTCTGTGACGTAAGCATTTCGCCGACAGTCGAGCGGTGGTGGATTCGGGCGTTATGCTTTTGGCCGAATTACTTTTTTACCCTAATAATATAAATAATGAGTTTGGGCGAGTTTCTTATAATGTGTTTAAGCGAGTGCAGGCATAAAAAATTAAATGTATTTTAATAAGAAATGTATTTATGTTTTTCTGAACATTTTGTAATAAGTATTATTTATAGATATTACCATCATTATTGATTTAACTAGGTTTGTGGTAGTAGAGGCAATGCTATCAACATTTATGGATAATATTATAAGCAACTCTTTTACGTTTGCATACTGCAGCATAGTAATTCTCTCAGTCACAATATATTCAATGTCCGTTTATAAAGTTGTTGAAATAGTCATAGATACGTGTCTCACAAATTGTGACTCACAGTACACAAAATAAATCACTAGACTGCTGTCTTTAGTGTATGATTCTATACTTTATCATTTATGCATTTGATCTTGAAATACATTTGCATGCCATCGCCCTTTTTGACTACCCTTCAAATATTTATCTTTCTTTAATTTGACTCAATTGATTTTTTATTATAAATGTTTTAAACTCTGACACTCTATATAGAGAAGGTCTCTGAATAATCATTCTTATATATTTTCATTTGTACCTAGGGGCTAGGGTCCTATAGACTATAATCTTACCTGAACTTAACTAAAGTTGATTTTTACATAGATATATATTTTAAACTTTGTCCAGCTCTCTCAGGAATAACAATTATAAATTATAAAATTAACAGTAACAATTATTTGTATTGATATTTAATTTACGTTTGCTGTTACAATATTTTTAATTTTTTACGAGGTATTAACCTCAATAAAGTTCTGTTCGAGGTGCTTAATAAAATAGTGGCGAAAAACTCAACTAAAATGTCCTCTCTAAGTGACCTAATTGATTAACGTTGTTAAATAGGGGTGTATCCCGACCTTATCTTCTAAGGCCGTGATTTGATACGAAGATATGTCACTCAACTTTACTGTTGAGTCATTGTATTTGTATATGTGTGTGATAAATAATATAATGATGCGATTTTCTTACTAGTTGATGACTAATTTACCATTGGCAACATTTTCAAACATCTATTTTAATTTTAATGATAAACTGTAGCTTATTTAAATTTTTCTCAAGTACATAATTTTAAAATAGCAATAATACTATGTTAGATTAGGTATATCTTAAATCCTAATAAACTCTATTACCTAATGTCAATATCGAATTGAGCATTAATCTAATAATGCATGTTAGGTTTATAATGATTACAAAACATTGCATTTCAAAATGTCATTATAAACAATTTAATATTATAAACTATAATATATATTTTAACAGATAAAAGTACCCACCGACAAATTTTTAAATTGTGACAGTGTTATATTTTATATTTTAGTTCCTACCTTAATTATAATTTATTATATTTGTTCATTAATCATAATCAATAATCACTAATCATATTACAACTAAAATCGTTATTCTTCATTTAGATATCTAGTTTTGACAAATTTAAGCATTTCTTCTGTAAAATATAACTGTGTTTATATATTTTTTAGATATTTTGGTTACATAATGAACTATTTACGAGAATTCTTATTCTAAATTTTCAACCCTTAGCTATGAAAAATGAATTTATAATTTATTAACTTTTACATTTTTTTAATTTTCGAGATTTTGATAAATGTTGTTAATATTTGAACTTATAATGTAAATAATTATAAAAAAACCTGCCTTTGAATCAACTACTATTGAAACAACTTATAAGGAACCTTGTATAATACAAGTTGTATACATTTTAAAGTGTCTATTAATAACCACAACGAGTCAATATATTTTGATAATCGTATAATGTATAGAAAATGATAAAATAAACACCTGATGAAAATTTTAAATACCTACGGTTAATGGTTTTTGTATAACAACAAAATAAGAAAATCTTTGTATGAGAATTTGTTAATTATTACTGTTGAATATTAAATGTCTTTCAATAACTTCAAATGATCGTAAAAAATTAATTTGACTTTCGGGTAAACATTTTTTTGGTTGTTAAATGTAAGAAATCTAGTTGAATCTTGTGTAAAAATTTCATATGTTCGATACACATAGAACATTTTTTATGATTTTCTAACTCTATTTTGCCAATTTTTGTGATTTTGGTAAATACTGCCAATATTTTAACTTCAGACGCCAATAAAAATTACAGTGGATTAATATTTAAGTAATTAATATTAGTATATTTATTTACTTACTACTATTCATATGCCCTCCTTTTGACAGTGTCAGTATCTTAAACAATGCAATCATATCGTATATCATCAACTATCAAAATATCAAATATTCAAGTACTACGATTCATGGATGATAAATTTGTGTAGTTGTGTGCTGCTTGGTGCTGCACGGTCTTCAGTTATACCGATTTTGTTTTGAAATGTGGCCACGGGACTTCTCCAGCAGCAAGTGAGAGGGTAACAAACATTATTAAGTAATATCATTGAAACCATTGAGTGAAATATTATATACCCATATAGTGGCTAGTACTAAATACATTAATATAATGTTATATTCAGTGCTATACTTAATAGTTAATACTCAATTGTCAATGGTATTATTTATTTATTTTATCTTCTCTAGAGAAGATAACATCTTCTCTACCTCGCGGTATAAATTATAATCAATACGACAGGGGCAATATATTACAATATAAGTAGAAAAAAGTAATGTATTTATACATCATGTGATTTTTGTCATGAAAATTACGGTTTGTTTGAAATAATTTTACTGCAAAGTTTAAATCAAGTAGCTACATACTTTAATTAATCAATCAACTAGGTAAACAAATCATATCTAGGTATATGACTATATGTCTACTAAACTACGTTCAGTCTCACAGCTATTTTTTGAAAAACAAGTAGAAAAATAGAACATACATATAGATACCAGCTGGCAGTTACCTACTTGCAGGCTATTTAATTTGTATTTTATTATAAAGAAGATATAATATCTTTAAGTGGTATTTACACAATCGCTAGAAAAACGGTTTTCCTACAGAAAGAAAAGAGCTTTTATATGAAATTATTATTTATATCTATGTTGTGTGATTATGTGAACACTTGGTGTACCTATTAAATAACAAGCCATTAACTTCTAATTTATAAGTATATCGGTAATCTATGCAGGTACCTCTCTAGTACTTAGTACCTATTGTATTCATATAGATAATAACTACATCTTAATGAATTCGATTTATAAAATAAATTAGGTAAAAAAATACGTAACTTTATGAGCTGTTTATGATAAAATAAAAAATGTATTCATAAATACTTTTTTTTGTAAGAATTGACAATAAAAAATTGATATGCTAAAACTATGAACATTGATTGATACCTAATTCATTATCGAGTTGTCATTGAAGTACCACAACGGTTTAAGATGAAAACCTAATAATTGGAAACGCGGTCTTAGAAGATATCTTTTACAACTCTATAAGACCGTGTTTGGAAACAATCTACCGTGATGATAGAACCCTATCTATATTCACCATGGGTAAGTCCTAGGAACCACATAATAATTATTAATTCAATTTAATAATTGATTGGTTTAATTTGATATTTAATGGATTGTTATAATAATGTTGGCTAAATATATTTTTTCACCAAATTAAATTATTCAATTTGAAAAAACCTACCTATATTATATTAATATAAACCGTATCTAAATGCGTTTCATATCTCACTATACCCAGGTGTCTCCTATTCGTTTCATCACCATATTATGTCCATTTAGTTTCTAGACAAGTATTAGGAAAGGGTAATAAGCACTGTAGAAGTGCCGGGGGAAATACGTTTGGGCGCATTTACCCAAAACGGAACACTTTAGGTTTAGGGCCATACAAGTATACAACGTTTGGGCATAATATTTCCCTTCACAATAGTAAGTTTGGCCGCATTTATTGCTTTGCATGTATTAACATATTGCACTTAATCTGAGCCTATTAGCGTTACCCAGAAAACACTTCGAGGAGCTTGGATCAATAGTCTTCCAAAGTTTTTTTAATTTAATTATTGTCAATTTTTAGTTTATTATTATTTATTTATTAATATTGTTCTATATTATAATGATCTTTTCTATTTATTTTGTGACTAATTAATTTTTTCCTGCAAAACGTTTTCCTAATTTTTTTATGTACTTAATTCAATATATTTGTTTCAACTTCACAAATTTCTCAGCATTTTTTTACAAACTTTTGTTTTTCTTATTTCTTCAGTTTCTTTTTTAAATATATTAGTTATTTTACGATCATAAGCTATCAAACGGTGAACACAGAAAATATTATCTGTACTAGTAGATAAATATCTATAGTTATATTTGATGCAGTATTTTCCAATAATTAAGATAATAATATGGTCTACAGCAAGGTAAACAATGAAGTACTTATTAGGCTAGATTACACAAGACATTCGATTACTAGTTACAGCATTGTGCCCAAAAGTGTTTTTATAAATACTCCCAAACGTGTTAACAATTTTTTATACTGAAATTATAATTTAAATTGTAAATTGTTTGTACAACTGAAAATACTCATAACTCTCTTCAAAATTAAAATATAATAAAAAGCCCACGAGAAGCCCTCCATAATAATCTTACCATTGAAATTCGTGTCATTCTAGAAGTAGGTTTTTTTTCAATAATTGATTTTGTTCTTATTGTATTTGCTTGATATTCTTAGCAATTTGATAGATGGCGCTGATAGTCCTTTTGACCAACTACTCATCCAGGGCTCGTAAGTTCATGCACTAAAAAAAGCACAAATAAGCATGCATTCATGCACTAAAAATTGGCAAAATATGCATTAAAATATGCACTAACGAGTTCGAAAATATGCATTTAAATGCCCTTACATTTTTAAATTATGCACTCAAAATATGCATTATGTAAAATATTTATGAGCAAATTTTAAGATAATAAGAATATATCCATTAATTTTAAAAGTATTTTATTCTTTTTAATTTTTATATATTTAACAATCTAAATTAATAAAATTAATACTTGTGAAGTTCATATAATCATATGGATTTGTCATCTTTATTAATTTTAATTAGGTAGTCATTTTTTGTCTAATTTTCGTACACCATTATCCTGCACCTACAATGAAAATATTTGGAATGAAATATTA